CGCTGGCGCCCCTGCCAAAAGGTGGTTCTAGGCCCAGCCGGTCGTTTTGCTCCCCTGCCTGGCTGCTTCAGGACACTACAGGATTTCTCAAACATGCATGAATGAGTCAAAGTAAGACTTTGGGCTTGTTTTTGATGAGAAGATAACATTATAACATGATACAAAACTCAAAAAAGTTGATTTTACATGATATAGCCCCTTTAATATTTGTGACAGAACTGACAAATACTAAGATCTGGACTCACCAACTACAATTTGGTCGTCTTCATTCTCCCCTGACTCTAGGCCAGGCTCTGATGAACTTATATAGCCCCATCAGACCCCAAAGTGCTTTACACTACAGCCACTCCCCCATTCACACACACATTTATACACTGATGGGGCACTCTGACAGAGGCGGGGCTGCCATGCATCTGTGCCACCGGACCCTCATGTTAGGCTGGGTGGACAAGTCTTCTGTTGCAGACATCTTTTAATTAAATTGTAAATAAAACATTTCTAAGAGAGGTGAACAGAACTGGCTCTTATTTCAGCTGAGCAGAATGTGTGCAGGTCCTTGGACACAGAGCACATGGTGGTTGCTTTAAGCCAAAACAGCAACAGATGTGGATATTTTGCACAAAGTTAATCTTGTGTGTGTGGCCACGTTTTTCCTACATCGTGGGAACCATTTTCCCAAAAAAGCTGCCTCGTGGGGACGTTGGGTCCCCACGAGTATGAATGCAAATTACAGGTGGGTGGTTCAGTTTAGGACCAAGGTGTGAATTGAGTTTAGGTTAGTTTAAGGGTCAGGTAGGTACGTGTGAGGTTAATTTTAGGATAAATGGTCAGGGTTAGGGCTATAAAGTAAAAAAAATAATGGAAGTCAATCCATGGTCTCCACAAGGATTTAAAAACCAGACAGGTGTGTGTGTGTAATAGTGTGCATACACTTTTGTTTATGTTGGATTTTAAAGTTAATATGCAACACGCACTTCCTTTATTTGTAGTTTTATGTGGTTTTTTTTGTGTTTTTTATTTTTTAAATGTTCACATTGAAATTTCATATTTTCACTGTTAATTTTATATGTATACAATATGTATAATTTCTCAAGAAGAATCCAGAAGTTATAAAATGTAATAAAATAAAAGACAAAGCAGAAAAATATCCAATGTCTACATAATTAACTGGAACTTCAAGAGAACGAGAACCCAAAAAATCAAAATGCAACTATTTAAAGGCTTTTCTGGAAAACAACAGCACATTTTTCTACCACCTTTCATGTCTGTTTTAGACTCACATAATGTTGTGATGAGGAATAATAAAGCTGATTTGGTCAACTCTAAATGGGATCTCATGCTAGATTTGAGAGATGTGTTAGCACTTAGATTGTGTTGTTACTAACTCAGACTCCATCACATCAAACTGGAGCTTGATTTATTTCCAGCAAAGCGTCACTCTAAAACTCTGAAACTGAAACTCTTCCTCTTAAAGCAAGGACTGGAGGAAGCTTTCTTTTCCATCTGAGAAACATGGCCTCAAACATACAAAAGTTGTCCTTGATAATAATGAAGGAAAATTAAAAGATGAGGGGGGAACGTGCACCCACCAAACAAGGGTATTTGGATCAAATAACTTTAGAGGTCAGTGAAGTTTTTTTTTTGTTCTGATTGAACAGAAAGATGGTGGCCTTTTTTCCCACAATTGTAAACTGACTGTGTGAAGAGTTTACTGCTTTCATGATAACATCAAACACTCGATAATGTAACCTTTTAGGAATGGGAGATGCTAAAAATCCTTTTTTTCATGAATTAGTGCGGTTAGAATGGAAAAAACTGTCCCCTTTAGACAGTATGTGAACTCACTGTATACCTCTATTCAGTGTTCATGAAAGATTTTTTTCTCCTCCTCTGTTTTCTCTGATTAAGTACGCATGACTGAGTATCTTTATTGAGAATCAGTCATGTGTCAGACCTGAACAAAAGCGGTTGTGTGATCGCTCATAAACCATTAATGTCCAAAAAACGGTTCAAAACATTTGTCTGAAAGAGTCTACAATAACAGTCTCTGTAATCAAATGTTTTCTAATGATTTCAGATTCATTATTGTAAGGTTTTCTTAAAACTAAACCAAATTTTGCTAAATGTGACAAAATACAGAAAGCCCCAAGAATTCTAATTGAGTCTCTGTTTGCACATGTTCATAAATAATACATAAAACTCTCTAAACAGCCACCTATTTGAGTATTAGTATCTTTGAACACTGTCTGCATTCATCTTTTTACTTTTTTAAAACGTTGAATAAAGATTTCTTACATAAATGCTGTTTCTATCAGATGAATTATCAAATATACGAGAAGTATGTGTACTTTAATAAAGATGTTTGTCATTTTAAAAGCTTCCTTTTAAACACATGAGCTTTTGTAAAAAAATAAAATCAGAGATGCTGTTTCTACTCACCCCATTTAAACATCATCACTGTCAGCAGGATTGTCCTCAGATTCAAACGAACCTTTCCCAACTCCATAATAAAGTTACTGCCAGCAAAGCATAAAATAAACAAAATAAAATAAAGAAAGGGATGAAGTCCTAAAGTTCTGACATGTCTCTGTGCATTGAGAAGCTCCTGACTGTTGTTGCTTTTGTTTTATAGTCTGGTGTGAAGTACAACATACAGACTGCAATAAGCCAGGAGGGAGAGAAGGAAAACATGAAGTGGACTGCTGCCTGCAGATTAGCAGATTAAGACTAACAGAACATTAAGGGATAGTTCTGAAATGGGTTCTGTGGAAAGGTAATTAACTACAATATTAGCATTTTCAGAAAAAAATGATGAAAAAATGGCAGTGTGAATGAGTCACCAAGTGACTGCTAAAATTTGCTGCAGCTAAAACTGAGTTGTTCAAGCCGAAAAAAGCAGAACATTAAATAAAAGATAAAAGTAGAAAAGGGACAGCTGAAAGTCAAATGAAGCTAAATGTTAGCTACAAACTAAAAATAGCAAAACTTCAGCTAAAAACAGCAAAAATGTAGCTAAGATTTCCAAATGACTACATGTAGCTAAAGGTGGAAATGTAAAGTAGCAAAAAGTTACTAAAAAGCTAAAAGTAACAAACCAGTAACTAAAAGCTAAAAGTCACAGCACCCATGTCCTGAATGAAATCAAATTTTTGATAGATGAATAATGATTAAAGTAGCACAAAGTAGCAAAAGTGGGTAGACTGCTAAAACCAAAATGTAAAAGAAATAGGAAAGTAGTGTAAATGGTGAATCAACACCCATAAATAAAGTTACCTGTTTCTTTAATCCCTTTTCCTGCTGTGTGTTCTCTGCACACCACATTAGACAGCTGCAGACAGGCTTAAAGTTAATTTCTAAATGAATTATTGCTGTTTTGTCACATATTGTAAAATTCATGAGGTCCAAAGTGGACAAGGTTTTCATCTAAATCAAGCTGGATTAGTTGAATGTGGCGAGTCCATGCCAGGTTTAATTACAATCTCATTAGTGTCTTCAGCAGCTTAATTAGGTGCTTCTTTATGCTGTAGAGCTCAGCTGTTCTTACTCCTGGTTTGAAAGCAGCACAGTGGTTGCTGTACAAACTGTTTCTTAGGGATTGTTGGAAAGCTCATGCTCTTATGATGGTTCCACTCAACATCAATCTGCATTATGCAGGAAAACGGCTTAGAAATGAACCCAACTTGTCCTTGAATTGAACATTCCCTTACCTTCCAAAAATATTGAAGTATTCAAATATTTTAATGTATGCTGATGATACTGTTCTTTTTTTTTTGTCTGATTTCAATATTGAATCTATTAATAGTCAGTTACAAGCAGATCTTCAGATATTTCATGGTTGGCTTCAAGATAATCTTTTGTCAATTAATGTTAAAAAAAACTGTGTGCATGTATTTTTCCTCACCCAGGAGACATTTCAATATAACAAATCAACTCACTTTTTTAAACAAACCCCTTGATATTGTCACTACCTACAAATATCTTGGAATTACTTTGGATTCTCATTTGACTTATCGTGATCATGTACAAGTCTTAACCACTAAGTTGAAACAGAAATTATACYTTTATCCAAAAATTAGATCCAATCTGACATCTTCTGCTTCAAATATCTATCTTCATGCCATTATACTCTCAACCATGTCGTACTGTTTACCTGTTTGGTCTCTTACAACAAATGAAATCTTAGAACCCATAGTTAGGCTCTACAACAGGGCCTACAAAATTCATAAAAAACTTCCTGGTTGGACTCATCACTGTACAGTTCTTTCATTGTCTGATGCCTTGACTTTTCGGAATTATGTTTTGTATAGTGGTATTAATTTATATTTTCAGATCTTCCAAGGTGCCAATTATGGAACTCTCTGTGCATTGTTGCCCAAATCAAATTCTGGAAGTGGTCATTCAWCTAGATCTGTTACAAAAGGACAACTGATATTACCAACTTTTAAAAACTGTTACGGCCAGAGGTCTTTCTTCTATGTTTATACTAAAGCATGGAATGACATTCCTCAAAACATAAAGTCCATTTCAAAACTGCAGCCCTTTAAGAATAATCTTGTCTGCCATCTGCTGGACACTTTTTGTTGTGCTCATATTTAGACATCCTATTTCGCAAATGCTGCCTTCCTGAAATTTGGTATGCTTGTTTGTCTTTGTGTCCGTGGTGTATAATGATGTGATTGTGATGCTGTAATTCTGAGTGTTTTATGTGCTGCAGAACAGGAACCTGCTGTAAAACAGCAATTATGCTGAGTCAGGCTCGATTTTAAGTAATCTTTTCCTGTTGAATCAATAAATCAAATCAAATCAAATCAAATCAACATGTCAGGTAAATTAATAAGCTGCAACCACAGCACAGAGTACTAATCTCTATATGATCATAGGGTGAGAGAGATGTAGCTCATATGGTCCATGTACCTCTGTCGCCAATGACTTTTAGAGAAGCTAACTGAAATTCATGTCATTTCTAAATAACAGATGTATAAAAGACACTTGAAAAATGCTCTGGTTTTTGTTGCCATAAACATTTAAATTAACTTAAGTAACACAACAGCTTTTGTGAGCGCTCACCTGTGCTCAAGTTCTATGGAAAAGGTCAACCAAGGACTCACGTTGTCTATAAAGTGCTTTGCTGGTTGAAACCATCTAATGGTCACAGAATCAGGCTTGAGCCACTACATTCTTCAGCATTCGGAAATGAGATAAAAAATACAAATAGAAAAGAAGCATTAACTAAGTGAATTTTACAACTTATGATTGACTAAGAACTGCTTGTACAGGATGCCTGTGTTATGGTTTGGCGAGGAATGAACCCAAATCTGGACAGAGAGCATGAGTTTGCGAATAAAAGATTTATTAAATAAACAAAAAGCTGATGTGGCAGCAAAAACAAGAAAAACTCAAGAGACAACAAAGGACCATAACAGGAGGTAAGACCAACAATGAACCAGTGAGTGTGTGGAAGGCTGAACCAGTATATATACAAACAGAGGAAATGAGGAAATGAACTACAGTTGATGAAAACACTAATTGGGAACTGCTGACAGGTGTGAGTTAGACTGAGGAGGGAAGTGACAGGTAACATCTGAGGTGTAATGAAAATAAGGAAACACCAGAGGGAGGTAGACACAAGACAACAGAAACACAAATCTTTACAACCAGTTTGATTTTCAGCATAGATAACATCCAAACATCATTTTCATAAGTTGTGTGGAGAACCTGCGCAGACAGCAGACTGTGTTCTTTGAGGATTGTTGGATAGCTCATGCTCTGAGACAGCAAAGCAGAGTTGTAGTCTCCCTGCTGCTTCTCCGCTGTTACACACCCAAACCCTCATTCAAACTGGCTCTGCTCACCCACAGACCAAGTTAAATAAATCATAAAAATCTTGTAAAAATACTTACTTTACCAGAACAAAATAATAAGTTACTAATGATATTCTTATGGCCACAGCTTTGTTTTTAACGGTGGAGGTAGAAAGAATAGTGGTGAGGCAAAATTAATCTCATATTACAAGATTTTATTTTAAAGGTTGGTAATAATACAGGTAAATTAGACAAACAAAATCAATATAAAAAGTCATTTATATTTCATATTTGATCATTAAATGCATTGGTGAAAGTACCACATGTGTACAAATGTGTCGGTACCCCTCAGTTAACGAAAGAAAAACCCACAACGGTCACAGAAATAACTAGAATATGACAAAAGTAATAATAAATACAAATTCTATACCAATGAACAATGAAAGTCGGGCATTACTTTTCAAACATGCTTTAACAGAAAAGAAAACCCTCATAAAACAGGCCTGGACAGCCCTAAAAGTAATGTGAAAGGGTCATATTAAATCAAGGTGTTTCCACTAATTATCATCACAGTAAATATCAGCCCAACTGTGCCATTGTCAATAATTCCACCGTGGATTATAGCAAACGTAGATTTAACTTTGTTACACAGAAGGCAAGCAGATAAAACATCCATTTGTAACTCAACAATGAGTACATAGATAAATTTTATGATTATGTAAAAATTTATACGGATGCATCCCAGAATCAATCAGGTGATACAGTCATAGTTCCAGAATTTAAAATTCAAATAGGGAAGAAGCTAAATGAAGGGTTATCTGTTTACACAGCAGAAATGGTTGCAAAAATGTTGGCAATAGAATGGATTGAAGAAGTAAGACCTTTAAGATCTGTCATATGCTCTGATTCAAGCTCATCTTTAATAAGTATACAAAGAAATCACTCAGAAGGTCATCCAGACATTTTAATAGACATACAGCAAATACTATATCGGATACAGATGATGGGGTTAATACTTGTGTTTTTATGGGTACCTGCACATATAGAGGTGAAAGGAAATGAAATGGCAGACAAGAAGGCCAAAGATTCTGCAAGGAAGAATGAAGTTAATATAAGAGTTTCATTTAGTAAGTCAAAGACTAAAAGCCTTATTTAAAAAAAAAAATAGAGAAAAATGGCAGAAGAAGTGGGAAGAGGATGTAAAAGGAAGATGGCTCTATAGAATTCAAAGAATGGTTGGAGAAAGTAGAAGAGGTGTTGGAAGAAATAGATTACAGGAAAGAATAATAACAAGGTTACGGTTGGGTCATACGGGACTTAATGCAACCAGGGAAAGACATAACCATTGTTCAGGTTGTCCGAGACAACCTATTTTCATTTCGGACAACCAGATCCTGTCTCCTGGTTGTCCGGTGGACAACCAAGCAAAAAAGACCTTGATTAAAATTGTCTGCCGTGGGTGTTCGTCATTTGTAAGGATGAAAGGGAGAAAAAAAACTTGGTAAAACCGAACAGAACACTAAACTGTAACTTTTAATAAGGTTATGTACACAGTATACTGCTATTTAAGTGAAAATGTTTGAACAGAAAGAAGCTTATGAATGTTAAACTCTATTTCAAAGAAGAGAATGAGGAAATTTTATTCACACAGATCCTGTCAACCTGGCTGACTGYGAACAATTATATATAATAAACCTTGTCTACAGAACAATATACTTGTTAAATTACATTTTTCTTGAGATTCTTTTGGATAACCAAAATGTTTTGCGGACAACCAGGTTTTGTCAACAGGTTG